TATATATATTACTTGTTTCTCCTCATTGTTTCATTTGTCTCCTCACATGAATCTCGGGCCTTTTTCTTCACGTGCACTCAGCCTCATGACCCCAACGTGAGTGATGTGTAGAAAACAGTCAAACGTTTGGCTTCAGACTGATTTTCGCTTTCCAGATGTTTATTTCGGCCTCACAGGAGACAGTTGTGTGCACCAAAGTGTCCAGAAAGCCCGATCCTGCAGAGCACTGTAATAAAATCTAATAAGTCTGAGAGGACATTTTTATGATGTCTGAAATTAGATTTTTCAATTTGCAGAACTTGAAAATGCTTTTGAAAATTCTCTGTGGCAAAATCAAACCAAATGAGTTCAGATAGATGGTTTTCATATTCAGCAATATCTAAATGTCAACATTACATTTCACATTAGGTATTAATTTGCTCGGTTAACATCTTATTACTAGGGCTTTTGTTTTTACTAGTGTGAATAAGCAATGTTTTCAGCCATGCATCTGCTTCTGATGAGCTGTACATGTTCCTTATATGAAAGTGGTGGGAGAAATTTTTCCTTACACGACATTTAACTTCTCTGTCTTTTTTTCCCACAAAATGTTCCCAGATGTATTTTATTCTTTAGTCCATGTTGCCATGTTTGTGGCCTCTGTTGCCCAACACTCGGGCTTTTCTGGGATATCAGATGAGAACATTTGCGAAACGAAGCAATAACAATTATTTGTTATCTGTCCAAGGAGGGAGTCGGCTCCTGTGGATTCAGAGTTTCTTCCTGATTGCTGAGGGACATCACCAGCTGTAATCTATTCTGATATGTTCCATTCTATTCTCATTTTTGTGTTTTACTGGTTGTTTTATTGTACTTTGGTCAACATGCCGCTATTTTAAAGTGCTTTTTTAAATAAACCTTGATTTGATGTTCCAAGCAGAGGCTGGCTGATTTCCAAAAGCCCATTTTCTTTATGAAGCCATTCAAAAGGCATTGAAAAGGTAAGAATTCTAAAGAACAAGTCTTTACCCCAAGGGACTGATGGGTAATGAACAGCTGCGGCTGATCCCACTTTGATCTGATGTTCAGGAAACAGACTTTAGTTTCAGACTTGATTAGATTGCTCAGTTTTTTATTGACCAGAAAATGTTGTGTTTCTAATCAAGTCTGTGCCGACGACGTGAGGAAATCCCGCCTTTGGTCACCTTGTTTCTTCCTACACACCAACTCGTCTGCTGCGTAGCTGCTAACGCGTTGGTCCATTTAGAAATCATTAAAAGGTTCATGTGTTTGTTTTGGTTCCACTAAACCCCAGAGACCCTTCAGACATCTCATTCTGCTTCTCCATGTTGTAGTTTTACCTGTGTTTTAGTTGTTTCCATATACAAGGGATCCTCCACTGCTGCTCTTTCTTTTCTCCCTGTTACAAGGTTTGTTTGGTGTCTTATATTTTGAACCGATGCCCTCTGAGGCAAATTACCGATTTGGGGTTGTATGAATAAAAATAACTTGATTTGATATGAGAATGACTTATAAATATGATTTTAAACTGATAAGCTGTTTCAGCTCAGAAAAAGATTCATATCTTTTGTTTGAGGTCTCAGAGACCCCGGCTGGTAAAACCTGGTTACATAAAGTGGAGTTTCGTGTTCTCTACTCCTGTGTATCAGAAATCGGTGTCGGCGGTACTGTGTGCACAGCATTACTGCTCCCAAGAGAACAAACTGGCCCATTTGGATTTCACTTGATGGAGTCATAACAGGAAGTTTGACCTCTCTGGGGTCTAATTCACCCCTATCTGAAATATCATCACTATGCAGGACTGTGTACACTATGTTTCTTTATCTGTAAGTAACCTTTTGGCAAATAATGAAATAACATGGAGCAAATTAACATATAAAGTATGAAATCTGACCTTGTTTGATGTAATAATGGGGGAAGGAGCCAGAACAATGGTAAAGTCAAAGCCAATGTCACCAAACAACAAGAGTTAAGATAATGTTTAGGTTTGAAGGCTTAGACACAGAAAATGGCCACAAATGAAATGCTCTGATTCAACAGGTCTGAAACCTCAGTGTTATTTTAGGCTCATCTGGGGTTTGTCACCAAATCTGCCTTTTATCATCTTAAAAATACAGCAAGTGTGCGGCCACGTTTCCCTCGGAGTGGCACAGAGAGGTTAAGAAGCAGACTGGACCAGTGTAACATTCTCCTCTGTGGTCAACCTCTGCTGCCTGAGAGCTGACCAGGACCAGAAGGAGAGAGCACATCACAGGGCTTACTGGTCAGTTTCCCTATGGTCTTGCACCAGCGGTAGGTATCCAATATGATCCCAGTGCATAAACCAGGATGGCCTCTCATGCACTCTGGCACAAGTCTTGTAGTTGGTCCAACGTGCAACGAGCCAAGCCTTCAGAGGGGCAGCTTTTAATTTTTATGTCTGAAGAGGATCTGAGAGCAGCTGCAGACTCTGGTTCAGCTTCTGACTAAAACTGTTTACTGTCATTATTTGACCTGCTTGTCTATTTATTTATCCATTCATGTTTATTTATTAAATTCCATTTTATTGATTGATTTCATCATTTTTACCTATAGTATTCATTGCTTAGCTTATTGCTGCTTTCTACCTTATAGTGCTCTATCTGTAAAGCACTTTATAGGACACTGGTTTGATTGATTGACTGACTGATACTCTCTTAATGTGGCTTTAAAGAAAGACTATGACTACTGAGCCATTTTGCTAATTGATGCCTTTTCTCTACTGTTACACTATGTCCTAGCATTTACCATTATCTGATGAGCTGCAGTGGCTTAATCTGCTTAAAACTACACTGTGTTTGTACCCAGCTCAGTGCTGAACAGGAGGATATAAATAGTACCAGATTATATTTGTTGTTTACCATCACATTCCAGTTTCTTGTGTGTTTTCACTTTTATTTTTGAGTCAGGCAACTAAAAACTAAACTCTTAGTAGATTCAGTCTGAGAAGCTATTACAGCCTCACAGGTAGCAGATTGGATTTCTGTAATGGAAATACCAGCGGGTTAAGTCTAACTTTAAAAAAAAAAACTATAAATCTAGAAACACCATTCTGCAAGGGAATAAATCCATATTCAATGTGGGTTTTTAATGAAATAATAAAAATGATAAATATGCCTTCCAGCTGCTGGTGTGGAGCCATGACAGCAGGCAGAGAAGAACTTGGATCGATGGGCTGATCGGTCCAGATTCCAGTATCTGTTTATGTCTGAGCTCTGATGTGAGAAACAGGTCACAGTGTCTGAGATGCAGCAAACTTGAACCGAGTAGCTTCACTTCCATCAGCTTCCAAATCCAAACTGGAAAAGCCGTTTCCTGCCTAGAAAAACAAACAAATAAGACATATGTTGGATTTATTTATATTTTGATTAGAGCCTGTGTTCACCAGAAGGAGCATCAATGACCAGAAATCATCTGGCTGACAAACAGAGGATGTCCACCGCTGATCTCTTTTAGCCTTTTGTAAACTGGACCTTCTCTACATTTCGACATGGGACATTGTTGTCTTCAGTCAGTAGAAACTATTCATACAGACTAATGCCCAAAGTGCGTTGCAGATGACTGACTGTAACTCTGTTTATGTAACGGCACTGATGAATTCTGGCAGCGTGCACAGCAGGACTCTTCTCAAGCCCCCAGTCCACACCAGAAACACCGTGGAGTCGCTGTTCCAATTGAGATCAGCAGAGGGAAACGTAGCGCACCCTTCTCTCCACCTCAGACAATAAAAACAAGGCGAAGCCCACACACACAGCAGCATCTCAGCCCTAGTCGAAGCCTTGGCATCCGAGCGATGTCTGAGCAGTGAACGCTCACACATCGGCTGGAGGAATATGGATACATGGCAGCCGAGCTGGGACTAGAGATGTAGTTGCAAGGATGCCAGACTACACCTCTCGGTTGCTCCTCTTCGTGTGGATCTGCGCGGTTTGGGAGGCGCTGGCCAAATCTCTTCCAGATCAGGGAGCATTCGGTAAGCTCGCCATACGGGGGATGCAGCACAATGACGAGAAGGGAGTGGTTGCATTTTATGGCTTTTGTCGACAACGCGTCGATCCTGGCAGGCTGCGCTCAGCTGTCATGTTAGTTTAAAGGAGAGAGATGTTAGGGACAGTTATATTAGTGGCATCCGCTGGATAACGTTATTTTTCGTGGTATAGATTGATTAATATCCACGAGGTGCCATCACGCCGAGGCCGCGCTGCTGTCTCAGGGCTGCTCTGCACAGTCTGGCTGCAGCTTGTTCTAGGTCTTCAACAGTCGGGCCTAAGCAGCTGTGCCGCAGGCCTTCTTGTCGTTTTTGCTTTGCACTGTCAGGACAGTGGGAGGTCTGAGGTCCTGCAAATCTGTCGCTCACTTTTGTGCACTCAAGGCCCACACTCATTTGTAAGAAGTAAAAGCTCTGCTGAGTGTGGATGGGGCGTAGGCCTTAGAATGACCTGTGTTTATATTGTGGTGTGTATTTAGAAGGACATTATGTGATTACTTTGCATTATGCATGTCTGCAGCTATTTTGAGATGCATGGTTGGTTACAGACAGGAAGCCATGTACATTTACTCAAGTGCAGTTATTTATAGTTGCAGAGCTGCTCAGCATTTCAGCATTTTACAGACGAAACATATAAAAATAAAATATAATTCATTATAGACTGGCCTGTTAATCTCTATACAAAGTAGATCAAATTTGCTGCATAGTAGTGATAATAAATATTACAGTATTCATGATATAAGAGACTGAAAGGAGCCATTCTGCATCACCAGTGTTGTGTTGCCTACTTTCACTTCAGTTTTGGTTGCAAGATTTTTACTTAATTTATTTTTTTTAAGAATATACATTGACACCAGCTATAATTACTTTATAAATTAAAAATTGTCAAGAAAAAAACATGTATAATGATGTGTAACAGATTAAACTACAGTGTAAAAGGTTTCTTAAAATTAGCTGCGTCTGGAGTAGCTACAACACTAATGTGCTTCTTAATGTGTCAGGTTTAACTATTTTATAATATAATATAACACAAGGAGGACATGTGCTTTAAGTACATTTTACTGGTGGCATTTCTACGTTTACTTGAGTCCATGATCTGTATACTTCTTCAGCCACTTATTTAGAGCAATTTTTGGTCCTCCTAACTCTGATTTGTCTCTTTTTAGAACTTAATTTCATTTAAATGTTTATAGATTTGGCTCCTTAGCTGCTCCACAGATTAAATGGTCAATGAATCGATACCTCAGATGTGTTTTGGTACGGCTCAGCACTTCTCCTGTCCTGAAGATGTCGTGAAGCAATTTCCGTCTAAAGAAATTTGCTAATTTTGCAGAGCAGCAGGATGCTGTGATTTCAAGATGAAACAGTTCGTCAATTGATCAATTCGGTGCTTCATTAGTCAATTGACAGAGAATAAATCAAAATAAAATCAATCTGCACTTGACTGCTTAATCATTTGTCATTTTTTTTACATTTACTATTTCCAGTCAAGGTGAATAATTGATTGTTTTTGGAGTCTTCCCTGAAAGCAAGACATCTGGGAAAATCCCAGTTAGTTCTGGGAAAGGTTTCACTCTTCTCTGATATTTTTTAGACTGAAGGATTTCTCTATAATGAAAGACATCATTAGTGGAATACCATTAATTATGTGTAGCAGGAAAATATGTTGGTTATCCTTAAAGAAAAGGTTCAAACATAACAGCTAAATGATGACATTCTCATAAAAGATTAGTTTCCTTCCTTTGACTTTGACAACCACAGCATGAACATAAGGCATAAGGATTTATCTCGGCCCAGGAAGACGTCGTATATGCCCTTAAATCTTTGCTGGAGGGAGTTTGAGCGAGTGTCAGTTTCCCAGACTCTTGATGTGACACTGTGACTCAGTGTTTCTGTCAGTGGAGCAGATTCAAGTCACACTGTTTTCAAGTGCAGAGCCCAGATTGAGACAATCCTTTTCACACACACACACACACAAGGGAGCCTTTATTGACCCCCCACACACACACAAGGGAGCCTTTATTGAGCCAATTATGGTAATAGATGACTACATTTACACAGGCACAATGGACATAGACACGCAAGAACATACACACACATACACACTGCTTGTGATGTGAATGCAGCTCCTGGAAAAGTTGTGCATAGAGGGGATTGTCGCTGGAGGGTTTAGAGGACGACAGCTCGTAGTGAGGAGGTGTCTGAAGAGTCGGTGTGAACCTGTGGAACCATCCCCAGTGTGACTCAGCATAGATGTGGGTCACGCTGGAACAACCATAAAATGTTCTGGGGCTGAAAATGTGAAAGGATGAAGGCAGAAATAGACAAGCAAGGGATTTATGATGAATGTGTGTGTGTGTGTGTGTGATGACTACAAACATCATCATCACAATGGTTCATCTTTACTGGAAACAACTGCACCAGAGATGGACCGGTGGAAACACACATCCCAGGGCTATCATTATCACTGATGTCCGTCATGAATAAACATCCATTAATAGAAAAAAGACACGTCTTATAACAGAACTTGCCTGAGAATTGTCAGGTTTTTAAGTTTTCTTCAGTATCAGAGTAATACAGTGACAGTTGTCCATCCATGGGCACATTACAAACAGGAACTGCTATTAGCTGTATTACTTGCTCTCTCTTTATGTTCTTACAGAGGTGCAAATAAAAGTCCAGGTGTTCGACAACAGTGACCTGTCACCTTTGGCCAATGCTCAGGTCGAAGTCCACGGCAATCAGACCATCTTGGCATCCGACAGGGCCAGCACTGATGGCACTTTGAGAGTCAGCTTCCTGTACCGGGCAGGAACATGGGTCATCATTACAGCCTCGAAACAGGACTATGTCACCAACTCTGTGCCCTGGCACTCCAACCGCATCCCCTGTAAGTCACTGAGGAGGAAAATGCAGTTTATTACACATGAAGAGCACTGTCCTGTGTTTTCTTTCTGACAACTCCATCACTCTGTAAAATTTGTTTCTATCATCTAATTATTTGGCTCTGCAGGATTTACCTGATTTAATTAATAATATCATTTGGAATCATTCGGCACTCTGCACTACAAAGGCAGGGTGCAGGAACTACCAAGGTTTTCAAAGCTGTGAAACAGATAGAAAGATTGTAAGGCTTCATTTTATGTGTTGCTATGAGTCAATGTTGATGTCTCTCTCTTTTCAGTGTATGCATCTGTCAGCCTGTACCTCCTTGTGCAAAGGCCAGGAACTCTTATACTGTACGATGACGTTCTGCAGGTGCTGTCTGGGTCACCAGGTAATGAAAACATGGTTGCTTCTACTTCCTACATGATGCACACTGATTTATCATTTCTATTTTATGAAGGACTACCATTTTAGTCCAAGGAGCCGAGTTTATTGATCAGATTTTAAAAAGTATGAATCACAAGAGACCATTTTACAAAATTTTCATCTAATGTTAGTGTGATTTTGGTCACTTGGGACATTCAGTTTGACCTTTGAGCAGTTATTTTATTGTCACATCTTACATTAGATGGTCTCCAACAGAAAGTGAAGACAGATTCACACCCCTCTCCTCTTCCCTGTGCCTCATCAGCCCCTCATAGCTTTCACTGCCTACCATGTAGATGACCCTGTGTTGTTTGCTGCTGTCACTGCAGCTGCAGCAGAGTAGCTTTGTTAGTTTTTACAAATGTGTCTCAGCCACACCCACCTCCTCATATCTAAAACACATAAAATGGCTGCAGGATTTACAGAAGGGGGTGTGGTTGTGTCTGTTTCAGGAGCTCGCAACCAGCCGCTGGTGCAGCTCCAGAGGACGTCCCTCCAGCTGCCACCCAGCTACAACTACACGGCGCTGTCTGCTGCACTGACCACAGCCAGGAGTCACTATGAGATCGGTGGCTTCCCGTTCCTCCTGGGCCAAGAGACCAACAGCTCAGGTGGGAAACATACATGACATACTGTGTTTTTATGTACTAAGCAATAAGCAAATATTTTAGACAACAGTGAACTTGCATTTTTGTGGCACCAGTTTGGGAAAGTTCCTTTACTCTTTCCACATGCATAAAGAAAATGTTTTCCCAGTCAGAAATCTCCTGGGAGCGTTTATTGTGTTTCAGCCTCAATAAGGAATGAAACTCATATTACAGCTGGGTTATTTCACAAGATCATGTAATAAGAAATGAAAGTAAATGTTGATGTTGAAGTGCTGCTGATGTCGGTGGTGTTTCCATTCAGGAGCAGAGACAGGCTGGACAGACCTGACGGCTCTGGCAGTGGTCAGCATTCAGCTCTTTGACAAAGATGGCAGCACAATCCAGGTTTCAGATCCGATCCACATCTCTGTGCCCCTGCCGTCCGACACCCGCAACAGGATGGCCACCAGTGTCCCTGCTTGGCTGTATCAGCCTAAGACTGGTAAGGAAAACATAAATCATAGTTGGGAAATGATGGTGAGGTTCCTGGAATAATCTGTATATTTATTTACTTATTGCTTTAATTTTGGTTTGATATTTAGCTTTTATTGTGTCCCACAGTGGTGGGTGAGATATTCAGATCCTTTACTTAAGTAAAAATACATACCGCTCAGTAAAACTGCTTCTCTACAAGTCAAGTACCGCATTGAAAATATTACTTAAATAAAAGTTTTAAAAATAATCAGGAAAATGTACTTAAAGTATTACAAGTACTCAAGGCAGAAAAATGGCCCCTGTGTTACACTTTTATATCATCAGATTAATTTCACCTCTGCAGCAACATGTCAGTAGCACTTTACTGTTGTAGCTGGTTGAGGTAGAGGTTATTTTAACATTTCTTATATAAGGATGCAATTACGTTCATTAGGGATCAATGTCCCAATCACTTTCTCAGGTAATTGATTGATTGTTTGGATTGAGAAAAAGCCAAAGGTGACATCTTCACAACCAATAGTCCAAACTTCACAATCATTTAAAATATATCTCAAAAATACAAATATTACAATGCCTTCAAGGAGAAAGCAGCAAATCCTCACGCTTGAAAAGTTGACACTGTGATATTTCTGCATGGAAAAGGACACTTGGCGAAATAGTTAATAATTAATGTTCAGTAAGTAGTTTATAAACCCAGAGCATCATATTTTATGTGTTAAAATCTTAACATGTAAAGTAACTAGTAACTAATGCTATCAAATAAATGCAGTAGCATAAAAAGTACAGTGACGACCATTTACGTCTCTACAGGATTATGGGTTCGGAACGGGACAGGCTACATCAAAAAAGACGGTAACCAGTTTGTCTGGAACATCGTGGTTCCTCAGATGGGATACTGGTTGGCTGCCTTCCCTTCGTCTTCAGGTACTGTAGCTCAGCCTCTTAGGCTCCTTTCTCCTGTTTTTGATCTTCAGTGTTGCTGCGGTGCCAGCAGATGTTCCGGTTTGTCTCCTGGGAGAAGAAGAGGAAACACAGACTGTAATGTTTTCTTGGTCGTGAAGCCCAGGATTTATTGATGTTTGTGGAGAATGATTTACATCCTGTTTTTCCCAAGATGAAGTTAAAACAGAAACAAAAGTCAAGTACAGCTGAGGCTAATGGAAACATCATAGGTTTATTTGTTAATTTATTTTGTTTTGTTTAAAAAAAAAAAGTTCACCTTGAGGGGGACTTAAATGTCTGTACTAAAACAAAAATGTCAGTGTCATGGAGGAAAAACCGACAGGAATCAATAGAAATCATCCTCTGGAGGCCATGAATATTTGTTTGTGCCAGTCTGTCTTGTAGATTACTGGAAAAATGAAATTCTCAGGATCACTATAATCCATAGGATGTATTCTCTGGTGACCACAAATGTCTACACAAAATTTCATGACAATCCATCTTAACCTCGTTGACATATTTGAGCCTGGACCAAAATAGTGGACCAACCAAACAGCACAGGTGTTCCTGGGGCGCTAATAAAAACATTCATATGCTGCAAGTGAATTTGCTTGTTGCTTGGTACTGCAGTGCATTAGTTATGCTCGTATGATACTGGGATGTCAGTGTGATCCAGTATTGGATGTTTCATGCTCAACTAGCCTTCACAGATCTGATAGGGCAGATTAGGCTAAAGCTAAATGATTTATTCTCACAACATCAGTGGCTTTGCCCATATACAGTAGCTGTATCAGTCGGCATGGTAAGAATGTAAAATGGTAGAATTCGTAAAGGTCTTTCCTCTTTGAATTGTCTTGCAGGATTTGGTCTGACTCACCCAGGCCTGAGGGACATCACGACATACCACACCCTGTTCCTGCTCTCTATTCTGGGCTCACTGGCCCTGCTGGTGCTCATCCTGCTCTGTGTGCTGCTCTACTACTGCAGGTGTGGGCAGCGTAGGCGCAGGTCTCTGGGTCTAGGTTTCTATAAATAGCAAGAATTACTGAATTGCAACAGTTATTTTGGTATGAATGAGGGTTTAATTTTAGGTTTACATTAGACAAGACTCTTCACATTATCTCCAGGAAGATAAAAGGTGTTTCTTTTATTTCTGACCTTCAGTGTCTCTTTACCTTTTAGGCGGAAGTGTTTGAAACCTCGTCGACAGCAAGGTAAACCCCACACTTCCAATCTAAATGGAGCAAAGAGAGACCAGGGTACATCCACTTCACGCCTAAATCTGATCTGTGGAGGCCATGTTGAGTCTGGTCCTTCTAATGACAAATCTGACTTGTCCCCATCTCGAGACTACCAGAGTTCAAGAGAGGACTTAACCAAACATGTTCCAGCTCACATGCTGCGACATGCAAAGGGAAAAAATACTTCAGGTTCTCAACGGGGTGAAAGCTTCCCCATGAAGGTTACACGTGCCACAGAGACCAACAACCTGGATAACCCTTTGTTGCATGAAGACTACAATCGGAGCTACAGCTCCATGGAAGGCAAGGAGTCTGAATATGACCGACACCACAGTGCCAATGACAATCGAGGCTACTCCTCCGATCCCCCATCCCCACCTCGTTTCCAAGGGTATGTGCCAAGCCAGTGTGACAAACCTCCAGAATATTCAGCAGCAGCTGCTGACAGCCTTGCCAGACCCACCTCCCTCAACACCCAGCCAGGTCAGATCATCTTCTGCAGCTCCATTGACCAGATGAAGGAGAACATGTACCGGAGTATGGTGCCGACCCTGGTCATTCCAGCCCACTACATGCGCCTGCCTTCTGAGTTTTCTGGCAAAGATGGCAAGGACCAGAAGGAACAAGACAAAGATGGTGCACAGATGGGAGGCCAGCAGCATCATCACCACCACTCCCAGAAACAAGGCCAACACCAGCAACAGCAGCAGCAGCAAGGTGGGTCCCAAGGAGACGACTCTGAAGAGCCCAGCTGGGCATCTGACTCCTCTGGTGGACCAGTTACCATCCCTGTGCTCTTCAACGACTCCACCATGGCCCAGATGAACGGGGAACTACAAGTTCTGACCGAGAAGAAGCTACTGGAGCTGGGTGTTAAACAGCACCCACGGGCCTGGTTCATCTCCCTGGACGGACGTGCCAACGCTCATGTGCGCCACTCCTACATAGATGTTGGTAATGATCTCAGTGGCGGTGGTGGTTTTGGAGGTGGTTCTAGCAGTACTCCACGAGATGTCAACCTTGAACCACCTCTGGAGGCCCAGGAACGAAAATCAGCAGCAAACCGGAAGGGAAAAGATGAGCGCTGGGCGTCAGGAGGACGGAAGGCCCACGGTGTTAGCAGCAGTGGGGGGAAGAATTACTCCAAGCTGGCCTACCCTGACCACAGTGAGCCCAGCAGCAGTGAGGGACGCCCGGTCTCACCTGAGGAGAACTCCCTCACCCCTCTTCTGGATGAAGGTCCATCTTCACGAGGATCCACCATCCCCAGAAGAGGTCGCAGCCGTGTAAACAGCAGCCGCAGCAGCAACAGCGAGAACCGCCGTGATTCCATGACCAGTCCTGAGGATGATCCTGATGACAAAGATGAGAACAAGAAGAGCCCCTGGCAGAAGATTGAAGACAGGCCTCTCATGGTCTTCCACCCCAGGAAGTGAGCTGTTTGAACTAACTGAGCAGTGTACCTGAAAGAATCTTCTCACAGGGGAGTCTTTCCACATCAAGCATGGGAGAAGAGAGATCACAATAAGCACAACCATGCTTCACTGGTCCGTTTTCAGGTTGTTGTTTGACCTTTGTGTTTCTGCTGAGGTGCTTTTTGCACTTTCTGATGACTCGTAGTTTTGCTGTCAGGTAACCTTGTTGTTTTCCACTGCGATGATTTATCTTATACCAGTTTATTGTGAATGCTGTCACCTGATACACCACTGAAACATTGTCTGAGCCATCACATATACTGACCATGGAAATAGCCATTTTATAGAGCAAAATAAGAATAAAGCACTTACTAATAATTTATTAATTCATTGATAGTTACAAGTATTTGTAACATTTTTATGGGTTTGATTGGTGTTTAGGTGATTTAGTTTTCCTTACCTGGATATAATCTACACAAAGGCTCACATGGGCGGTACAAAATGTGCACCTGTGTTTACTTGACTACTACCCAGACCTACACTATAACTAGTTTTTTTTTAAAGGGAAACTGCTCCCCGAAGTTTGAGTCTGTAGGGAACTGATCAGTTCTACTGATTGGTTTCTTGAGCCCCTGTGAACAGATAATGCAATCAATCAAGTCCAATATGTGACTTGCATTTTGCTCCTTCAGGGATGTACTTGATTTCCTCTTCCTCCTGTACTTTGTTCATGTGTTGTAATTACTTATACAGATAGTAATGATTTGAAATGTTGAGCATCATCTTCATCCTTTCTGTCATTGATTTATCACAGTGATCTACTATACAAATCTGCCAAAAGTATGCATTTCTGCCATTCTCCTGTTGAGATTTTTCTGGACTTTGCATTCTCTGTTATGTATATAGATTTCCAAACATTTGAAAGACCCTTTGGTATAGAAAGGTTGCATGCATATGAATGTACGAAATAAATAGAAGGCACCAAAAGCCCCCACAGTTCTTCGGGCTCCTGAAGTAGACAACCCCCTAATTGCCAGGAAACCTGGGTTAAGTCGAAAACAGACACGGCTCAGCAAAAACATCACTTTACTTGAACACTTCCCTGTTTAACATTCTTCTGAGCTCTGTAGGGGTTGTTTGTAGACAGGGCCTGTACCACTCCTCTCCTGTAAGTGCCTTCTTTCACATAGGATCGAGTGATAGGCATGCAGGTCCCTTTTTCAAATGCAGTTTGTCTCCACCTAAACTTTCCTGTTGTCATCGGCAGGCACCAATAAGCACACTGCATTGTGGTAACAACAACACGTGTCACTCTGGGGAGCATGCCTGCCAAAACTGACGCCATTGGACATCTTAATTTCTTATATCTATTCTCTTTTTCACCAGACTTGTAAATGGTATGATGAACTATATGAGATTTCATGTGTATACAGTATGATGTGCATGTAACATGTAGAATAGGGTGTTTTTAATGAAACCTTTTTTCAAATGAGGATGTTTGGCACAAAATGTGATGCACTGACGCGTTGAATTGTTGCCAAATGGACTTGTTATATGAAGAAACACTGACTTTTCCCTTAATCCAGTTCTAACAGAATTCACTTCCGGTCGTAAATGTTTACAACAGTAACACACTGACCAACATGCGCCCGCTATTCCTAGCATCACCACTGCCTACAGTGCAGCAACAACTGTGAACTTCATTTAGCACATTTGTAAGAGCTCACAATTTTAGAAAACCTGAAGAGGTCTGTGTTTTGCTGAGGTCGATTATGAAGTGAAGGTTGTATAAAAGTCATGCTGACCTGTTGGTCGTTTTCACCATTTGCTTGCTGTTCATAAGCCTGTGTCAGTAGCCTACAGTACAAACTGAAAATGTGACGTAAC